ACACTAAAACCAGAGCTCATTCCTCTTCCAATCCTCTTCTCGTAGGATTAACAGGGGCAGGTGAAAAGTCCACAGTCAGCTTTTCCCATCCCCGTACCAAGAGGTAGCACTGCCACCTTCCAGCTCTTGGGTCCCATCGTAGATCCTGGGCCTGTTCTCCCTGGGCAGTCATGCTGGAAAGGCCAGCTGGCGTCTCCCAGTTTTTCCTGCAACCTTCTCCAAGAAAAGAGAGGTTTTCGGGATAACCGATGAACGGAGGATAACAGTCAGGAGTCTGCAGAATCAGGTGTCTCACTGCTGTGGCCCCAGTTCCATTCCCAGTCAGGGACACTTCTTCCAAACAGGCGAAATGGGCCGAATGGCTGAGGCTAGGTGCCCATTTCACTTACTGCAACACATGACGTGCCTCTGACATGCACGCTGGCAGGACATGCCGCAGGGACAGGATACAAAAGCATGGACCCCAACCCCTGATCTGCAAGCTAAGAAGAAATGTCAAGGCTGCCTGGGTTACGAATCGCAAGACCTGAGCATAAGTTACTATAGAAGGAACAGCACCCGTTTTTTGCATCATGCCTTCAGGGTTAAATATCTCACCACACAACACTTAGAACCAACGCTTCTTTGATGCAACTGCACTTGCTAACTCCTCACAAAACGCACGTGCTTACTCCATTTTCTTCTTTTCCAAAATTTTAATGGGGTTCAATCAACACGCCTTCCAGGAAGTCAAAGGCACAGTCTTTCAGATCCAACGGCAGGAGAAATGTCTCTGCTGGAAACCACAAAGATGGCTCTACTTTACTGTTTCCATTCTCCTTGCAATTGCATAGGACTAATACTCCCGTTACTTCCACACGCGAACAAATATTAATATAGATTGGATACAGTTCTTCAGGCTATCTGTGGCAGCAGCCTGCTACAATGCACTACAGTATTTGATTACAGAGACCTTCCCAGAATAGGCACTTAGCAACACTGATGGAAGCTCATTCAATATCAACTTCTGTGCTCTTTATTTAAAAAAAAAAAAAAGACATTACAGAGCTAAATAACCTGGTGGGAGCTGCAAGCTGCTTTTTGTTTTGTAACCTGCATGTTTCACCCTCTGCAAGATAAAATAATTTGTTTCTGAGAAATTCTGAGGCAACAGAGAAAGGTCAGCGGCTTTCATAAATCAAGCAATTCTATCGAAAGTAGAAGAATAAATCACCGATTTGTGGACTCCTTCAGTGTACAGACACACAGCGAGAACTTCCTGCTTTTCCGCCTGTGCGGTACAATATCCTGCTGGGAGGGGAGCCGAGAGGCTCGTTACAGACGCTGCTCTCTCCCAGCTCTCCGTCAACTCAGGTCGTCAGCACAGATCACAAAAGCTGCAGACAATTCAGCTCCCACTGCAAGTGAAGACCGTTGAGTTGGACACAGAACGGAGTTTTGTTTTTCACACAGATCGCCAGCAGCTCTGCGGATTTACAGGCCTGGATGTACAAGTGAGCTTCCTGGGAGCTCAGCTGTTCCCAATTACCACTGCGCTTCCCCAGACTCTGCTCACTGACGATCAGACGTTACCTGTAAAAGCTGTGGCCCAGCATAACCCAGAAGTGAAAAGATCTACCAAAAAAAAAAAAGATGAAGCCAGACAGACCAGGATAAATTAACTCTTGACAAGAGCTGTTATAAACAAATCTGAATTCCTATCGTGCTTATTTGAGTAGCTTCATCAGCAAAGCAAGAAATGCAAAGTTAAGGGCCTCCGAGAACTGGCACACACTATACACCACATGGCACAGAAAAACAAATTTTCATGCAAGCACCACTCAATCAGAACCGCTGCTCTGAGACTTGGGAGCTTCTGTTAGGCCCCGACTCTAGTTCTGTACCGTACAGTTCGTCTCTGTTGGTCTCCGTGCTTAATCCGGAGGAGAGGGTGGGGTGAAATGTAATGACAGATAACCAGAAGGCATCCCTGTGGTTATTTTATTAGTGTTGGTTGTACATGACCAGGGGAAAAACAAAAAATCAGATTTGCAGATCACGGTTCTTCATGATTCCAGGGAGGGTGGATGGTGTCTGTTAAGCATTCAATCAAGCATCCTGGGAGATCCAGTGTAAACTCACGGCACACATCTTGTTCCTTGTTCACCCCATGTTCATGTTCACCTCACCTGTAAGTCTAATTCACTGCAATGAGAATCTAATTTCACCTCCAACTACATCAAAATGCATAAATATGGATTGGTATTGCAACCTTTTTTAGCAAAGCGCAGCTCAAATGCTGTTTCTCCGAACATTTTGAGCAATAAATTAACATCAAGGTTAAATGCAAATCGTGCAGATGCTTGAATCTAAGCCATTAAAAAGTGGGATAGCAGGACTGTGAATAAGACTTTCACTGGCAATCTGCAAAAGTCAGTGCCTTGTTAAATGAAGCAAGGCAGGCAATTATCACCAGGGAAGTCAGGAGAGGTAACCTATACTGCCCCTAACTGCAGACAGAAGCCATTTAGATCACAATGTTGTTAATTATAGGACAACCCGAATCCGTAAAATGCGCCTGTCTAAGAATTTTAACGCTGCAATGTTTTGCAACCCGAGTGTCTTAAGACGCAGAAGGGCTTTGGAGTTTAAAGATATTAAAAGCACTAAGCCCGTGTCTTCTTTTGCATTCCGGAATGTTATACGCACAGACCTTTCTGGGGCAGCTCGATATGAATTTGCGGTTTTCCATTATTTCCACCAACAACCTCTTTCCGTTTGCTGCTAACGGAGCGTCTCACTGGTACACATTGCTGCAAAGTGTAACCTCTCCTGCCCTCTAGTGGCCGGCGCATAGTGCTTAGAATTGTTCAGAAGATTGAAGCTTGGCTTTCCTGCAATATTACTGCTGTTTGGGACTTGAACTTAAAAAGAACTTTAAATAATGTCTTCCAGCGTTAGCTATGATATTGAACGTCACACACGAACAGTTAGGGAAAGTGCTGTTTCAGTTGCTTTAAAAGGTAGCTCGTCTTGCAAGCGCATGGATTGCAAAACGGTTTATTAAACGGGGAGAAAAAAAACAAACACCTTTTGCAATTTCTCATTTTTAATGTTTCAGCTAAGCGATCAATTGGAAAATAAGCATCAACTCCAACCGAGAGACACGAGAAGACCCTCTAGAAGAAAGTTTTAACGTGAAACAGATTTCAGAACAGGTCATCCACCAATCCAGGTGGGGCTGCACATTGGTGGTGTTGGAGGGGAGACCCCATTACCTGTAAAGCGCTTTGAGTGGAGTGTCCAGAAAAGCGCTATATAAGTGTAAGCAATTATTAGTATTAGTATTATTAAGTGTTGCCTGGCACGTTTAAATCTTGGTCTTCATAAAATACACCCCAAAGCAGTCCTTCCTGTCTGCGGCACCCGTCTCCTACGTATACACACACATTAGAAAAAAACACAAAACATTCACACACAAATAAAAAAAAGAAAGAGACTTGATTTGAGCTGTCGACCCATGTTCACTGTCCGACTTGCATATCCAACACCTCGCCCTCCTCGTCATACGGAAAACTCGCGCTCTGCCGTCCAGTACGCCGCGGGACTCCGTCCGAGCGGCCAAAGCGACACGATCACGTCGCCAAGGAGGGCCCGGCAGCCCGAACCAGAAGCGGACCGGGCGGGCCGACCTGAAGACAACGGGGTCCGACGGGAGCGGCGAGAGGCCGTTGACGGCGAGTTAACGGCGGGCCCCCCAGCTCGTGAGGTACGCTCGGCGGGCTGCGGGGCCGCGCGCCGCCGGCTCGAGCCCGTCTCGCGGCGGAAACCTTTGCCGCTGCCGCCATCTTGGGCAAACCAAAGGTATTGGCGCTTTTTTTCCTCCCCCACAAACGGCTCGATTTTAAAGTATCCGCCGCTGCCAGTGCACACCGGGGACGGAGGTACGGGTCTTTTCGGGTTCCGTACATGACGGACCTATTCGGGCCAGTAAGGAACGCGAGGAAGCGGTACTGTACTTGTCTACCTGCCGAGCCTATACGTTGTGGGGAAAAAAAACAAAACACGTACCTACTGTATTAGACGTTGGACTTGCGGGTCGTCGGTGAGAATAAAAACGCGTTAACGGTAGAGGGGTTTTGCCCTCTGCCTCGCCGAATGTCGTAAAAACACTGCCGACGTTTTAGGTTTGTAGTAAAACGACCTCCTTGCAGCGTCTGATTGGCCGGTTTACTTTTCGAAAACGGGAGGGGGTGGGTTCCGAATAACGCCGACAGAATAGACTGTACCGTGGAACAAAACATATCAGACTACCAGCTACCGCCTAATGCCAATTTTTTTTAATGTCCTCAACGTGTTTATTTTGTAATCTCCCCCCCCCTCCAATATTAGACAGTGTCGAAAGCGACGGTGATTAATCAATTTCAGGTCATTTACCTGCGAGCACTAATGAGAGGACCAATCCGGTCAGAAATCATTGCGAGTTCAGTCTGTAGCGGGTCTGAATGTCCCCTCAACAGGTCCTTAACCTTTACAGCTGAGATACTAAATCAGTGGTTCTCAGTCCTGGTTCCCTGGGGACCCCAGTATCTTCTGGGTTTGCTCTGCAGTCGCGTTCTCAATCACAGGCTAATTCTGCTAATTGATTTTCAAGCTGGCAGGATTTTAGAAAGCGGTGGGGATTTGTAATTGATATTGTCAGAACTTCCTTATTTGTATGGAAGTTTGGGTGTGGTGCGTTAGGGCTAGGTAACCGATTGGACCATTATAAAATCACCTATGAAAAGATCCATTGCAAGAAATAAGAACTCTTCATTCTATTTATTTTGAAACCTCTTCTCAGTTTATTAAGTACAAATAAAAATGTACTTAATAAACTGAAGCGTTATTGAGCTTTGTAGTGTTGACACATCATTTTCAATGTGAAATGATAAATGCTACAAAAATCTAACTGATACAAACACCTTAAGCTACGTGTTTTGCAGATGCTCAAACTGCTTTGCTTTTAAATTCAAAGCATAGCATTTAAGAAGTTAATAAAACAGTTTTAAAAGATTATTGATTTGTCCAGTGGAGCAATAAACTATGCATTATTCTGGTAGTTATTTTGGCTAGACATAACTGCACTACTCACTAATGGAATTCTGTTAATTTTATCTCTCAGTAGGTTGTCGCTGTTTTGAGAAAAGACTGTTCAGGATGTTTTATACACAGCTATTCATGTGCAAGCGTGGGCCACTGGCTAAAATATGGCTTGCAGCTCACTGGGAAAAGAAGATAACTAAAGCTCACGTGTATGAGTGCAATTTAGAAGACACTGTTAAAGACATACTTTCACCAAAGGTAAGCATTCAAGAAAACAGTACTTAAGCAAGAAAAAAGGGAAAGGGTACTTGCAAACGTTGTGAATAAATGATGAAAGCATTGGAAAATATGTTCAGTCTTTCTGATCTCTCTGTCTTTACTCTCACACAGGGGTTTTGGAATTCCTATTGGAAAATGACATTCGAAAACCAAAATCCTTAAACTTGGATCACACTTTTCCCCTTCTCTCAAACAGACTCATCTCCTTCTTAATCTAGTCAATTTATGTTCAGTTTTTGCTTTCCACACCTCTCCTCCTGTTATCCCTTAGTTTGGACACTCATTCTCATCTGCTTTATGCCCACTTCCCCCCTGATCTTCACACCTTCTTACCCACTCTGTCTTTTGTTCCCTTATGCGTAATTTATTTGCTGCTTTCCCTCTCTGCTTCACACCTGAAGAAGGCTCCACAGCTGTAAAGATTGGGTTTCTTTTCGTTACCATTCATACCATGAACCTTTAACCTGTTCATTTGTAAACGTGTTTACTTGTTTTTTCCTTACACCCAGGTTAAAATTGCTCTGAGAACATCGGGACATTTACTGCTCGGAGTAGTGAGAATCTATTCAAAGAAAGCAAAATATCTTCTTGCGGATTGCAATGAGGCTGTTGTTAAAATTAGAGTGGCCTTTCGTCCAGGTAATCAGTTCCTTTGTTTCTATGTAGATGCATCACTAGCAAAACCTAAAATGGGCAACACGGTGTAATAATTATTTGTAATCTTCTGAGGCTGTTGGTTTTTGGATGTGCATGTATATTTAGCTAAAACTAAAACCTAGTTTATGTTATGCAATACAGAGCTAATGAATTGAATGCAGTTTTGTTCATGAGCTGTATGAAGTATTAAAATCTCTTAAAATGTCAGTTAATATTATTAGAATTCTTATCTTATAAATTGTAATTAGAACAAATGATTGCACAAACTTTGATTTTTATGAATATTTGTGTTGCAGACCTAACGGATCTCCCCATTGAGAATGCTGAAGCTACATATAAAGCAATCACCTTGGCTGAGAACTTCCATGACTTTGAGTCTCAGCTGCCTGCTGTCAAGTACTGTTCATCAACTGCATCTCCTTCAGTGTCATTGTGCAAAACATGTCAAATGCTTAGACTTTACTTCTGCACTCCAAACTGCATCTTCACTACCCAAACTGTACCTTCATTTAGCTGCACCCATTAATCGGCAGACGGGTAATCTACAGGCAGTGTCCACTTTGGAGAACATGATATCAAAACGTATATGAAACCCTTTGTGTTTGCAGTTTTTATAGAAAGGTTTTTTTCAGGGTTTCTTCCTTGAAGCTACCTCTTTATACCTCTTCAGCACCATCGAAGTCACTGAACATTTCACTCTGAACCAGTGCCGGAATGAAGACATCACACTTCGAGAAGATTATGGGAATAACTTTCTTCTGGACGACAACTTTGGTACGAATGGCTTTGTGATCTTTAGAACTCTAGGGATGAGTGTCTCGTGACGTGCTCTGTACTTAGAACAGCTAGTACAGCTTTATGATTCTTTGAGCTGAAGTACTGACAGCTATTATTTCACACATCATAGGTAAAAAATTAAATCTGGAAGTTTTTTTTTTAGATTTCACCGTTAACTAGAAGAGAAAAGCAGTCAGTGCCAGTGCCTGAGTTATATAACTTTCATTACTTCAGGTAAAGCGATGTATAAGCTTTTAGCATATACAATTGAATCTTAAGATAATTGGGTTTATTTTAATGTGCTCGGCAGGAGTTGAGATTCACTCGAGACAGCATGACCTGTTCGATAATGGCGTGCAGATCAACACAGATGATTCCATCCTGCCCAGCTTTGAAAGCCTGGCAGACAGACTCACAGCAGATGGGTTTGGAGATGAAGAAAGTGGTTTTGATATTTTCAGTATGCGTTTTTTAAAACTGCCTGTTTACTCCCCTTCTCTGAAATGGACACCATTGCTTCCCTTATTGTATATAAGAAAAAATGCCTGTATTTGGTAGTGTACTCATACCTCTTGTATAATTTATTTAGTACTGTACTTTTGTTTAATTGCAGATAGTGGTTTTAGTTACCAGGTACCTAAGTACAGTAGGTTTTGTAATGGAGGAAAGCTACCACACATTGCTTTCTGCATAAACAACACCAGTAACAGTACTACAAAACAATTAAAGGTATTATAAGCTATGATACAAAGGGTGGTGTATGCAGCTGATTGGATGTGAAGTATTTTTAGACTTTTAATGTTTTCAATTTCAGACCTTGTTTTAAATGATGAAGATACTATGCAGAAACAACTTTTCAATGAGAACGAGGAAAAAACTATGTCATCGTCGGACATCAACAACAATGGTATGTTTTACTGTTGCTAGCACTTAATAAAACATGTTCGTAGAGCAAATTTCGCATTTACAGCTCACTAGTGGCATTTTGTAATTCAATATAAATAAGGTTTATGTGATAAAACAGACTTAAATGTTATTTTAATTTTCTGATCCATTGCCTGACAAGAAAGTGTCACAAATATATTGAATGTTTTCACAAATTAGCATCAGGATAAATGGTATTGATATATTATTGATATAATTTGAGATTTAATTTCTGAATATAAATATTTAAACTTGTTTTATGTAGTTTAAATTACCACATAAATTTCTTTAGGACTGATAAATTTTACTCAACCAGGTTTATTTCTTTACAGATTATTTGTAGGTGATGAAAATTCTTCTTTTTCCACTGTAGTGAAATAGTCTAAATATATTTTCAATGGACATATAATTAGAACTTGGTAAAATGTGTAGGGTTGTTTTGAAGTGTGATTGTGTTCAAATTTTGTAGACATACAAATTCAGGAGCATGTTGAGGAGACTTCAGCAGTAAAAGAAACAGTTCTGTTGGAAGATGAGGATCAAGGCTTTGCGTTGGAACCCATTGCAGAAAGTGGTGAATATTTAGAACCATCCTTGATAATCTACATTGATAAATGCATCAGTATATGGATGGTACAAAGTAACCTGCACATTTGTATTACTTGCTCAAAATATATTTTTACTATTGCATAGAATTTAAATGCAATAGTAAACATTTTGGTTCACAAAGGATCTTTATGAGGATTTAACAGTGTAGGCACTTCTGTTTTAACTTAATTAAGCAAAGGAAAAAGACATACAATTCTAATATTAAAAAGGAGGTTACCTGTTTTTAAGCAGCATGCAGGTACATTTATACTTTTAGATGGTTCTTTTGTACCTAATTAAAATTATGTGATGGAGATGTGTGTAATTAGCTTTACACGTTGTGTTAATTGACCATAGTAAATTTGCATCATAGCTTTTCTATAAATTACCCATTCTTATATCACCATTGAACATCTTAAAATAGCTCAGGTAACTATCAGTTTTATCACCTACCTATCATTAAAAATACTTTCTCTGCTTGACAGTTTTAGAAACTTAACTGTTGAAATCAAACCCTCAGCTTCTTCTGACTCGAAGAAACGAAAGAGAAAGAGGAAGCTTGTTGTGGACCAAGATAAGGAGCTTTCAAACGGCGTCATTCGGGAACAGATTGCAGGCTACTCCGATATCGTCACCACGTTCAGTTCGGCACCGCCACTGAAAAAGCTGATGAGCTGGAAAGAGAACGGAGGAGTGGACAAGCTCTTTCGTCGATCCTGCTTTACTTTCATAAACAGTCAGTTATTTGAGGTAATACAGCCTCCGGATCCCATAAATACAGTAATTTCAATCTTTTAAAACTGATCAACAATAGTAAATCCTGATGATTTTTTTTAAACCCTTGAAAATATGTTTAATACCTTTTTGTCTGTAACATATGTATTATTAGAAACACATTGGTGATGTTTAATTGGTTTTACACTACAATTAATCAGTTTTTAGGGGCTTTATAAAAATACTAAAATGAGAAATAGCAATTTTGGTATTTTCTTCTGTATTACTCTATTTTCTGTATATCATTTTTGCTTGAATATAATTATCTTTTATACAGGAGGAGTATCTAAAACAGGAGGTGAATCTTTTGATTTTAATTATACTTCAACACTTTGGTTTAATTATAAATGATAATTGCATTTATATAGATTTTATATATATATAAAGCCCCACTATACAGGAGGTCAAACAGGGCAGTTTGCTTCAGCTATTAAATTAGTCGTAATGAACAAACAGGATTTTAATATAACATCCCATCCCAAGGATACCACCTCCTATAGCACTTTGTCTGGTCACCCTGCTGGGGCATTGACCAAGCCCATCCTTGCTTAGATTAGGAAAACTAATGAGATCTGTCCAGAAGGTACAGTACTAACATTGCCATAGTTGTGTGTACTAACATGAAGTGTGACAGCAAATGACGATTAAAGCAACTTTGACTATACTTCACCAGCTTTTTCCAAAAGACCTCATACGTGGTGGTTTGAAGAGGAATACAAATTTCGAAGAGCATGAAAAGGAAGAGCTCAGGAACCTGCAGATGGATGGTACAGGTCAGTCTGTCATGACATAACATTCAACAACGATGATATGTGATTACTAGAATGCAAACGGTACTGTACAAATGACCCTTTTTGTACACGTCCATAAGTTAAAGTTGCCTTTTTTAATTATGATTCGTGTTTACGAAATGCTGTAATGTACATATAACTTAATGTTTGGTTTTTGTAATGGAAATGTTTTCTTTGTCTTTATAGGAGACTGTGAAACACTCATGCACATGATTGAAGATCCAAGTATTCTACAGACCTCAGTGGCTCAAGACTCAACAAGGAGGAGCATTGATCACACACCGCTGTTGTCAACAGATAACGAGAGCAGTCTTGTTTGGAACAGGGAAAATGTAACATTGTCTTTTTCCATTTTAATTTTGTCTTATCTGGTCTTGTCAATGTGACCAAATATTGTGCCTTTTATAATGTGCAGCATAATGAGTGGCTATACAAAGACATACTGTATACAAACTACTGTACAACATAAAAAGCATTGTCATAATGTTTGTACCTTTAATTAAACGCTGAAAAGTCAATCAAGTTCTGAATATAATAAAACTTGAGGAAAGAAATAGTAGTGATAATCAGTTTTGAATATACACAGTTTGGATGCACTGTGAATGTAGGTCTTGATTAAAAGGAAGCACTTTGCTCTACACAGGAAGAAGGTGTTGGAGAGACATTTGCAGGAATGCCTTCAGAGGATTCATTGTTTGTTCATCCATCAGCAGAGATACAAGCAGAAATATCACAGACTCAGACGCAGTCTGTCCAGGTAATTCAGTGCTTTGGATCTATTTTTTGTAGTCCTTGTAATTCTCTAATTGCAGATGGTTACAAAATATATAATATTTTGAGTTATATTTTGAATAGATTAAATAAATAATATGGTTTGCTGTCATACAGCAACTTATAATAAGAATCTAAGTTATTTGGTCTAGTATGCATTCACAAACCGCAGTTTGCAGCATCCTAAGTATGTTAAATTGACATTATTTGGAAGTAGAACTACAACTACGATAGTATTTAAAATAATAATAAAACAACAGTTTTTGATTCTTTAAAAAAAATAGGAAGAAACCTTACAGGATTGTGAAGATTCAGAAGACAGAAGGATCAATAAGAGGGTTCAGTATCTGTTGCAGACTTTAAGAGTAAGTAAAGAACTACACATATAGCTTAAATATTTTGTTTAAGTCATCAAAGAGTGATTAATCATGAGTATAACACTAAGAAATGTTAGGTAGAAAAATATTGAATTTATCTTTTGAGTTTTAGTATCACTAAGCTGTATAGGAGATTGTATGTTTATTTTATCACCAAAATAATTATCTGTTGTGAAGTGTGATTAGAACAGGTTCAGAAATAAAACGATTTAAATAAGAAATAGTGTTTTGGCATTGTCTTAGCATTATCTTCACAGCAGAGTGTACACCACACCAGTGAAGACTAGTTTCAGATTGTTTTGACTGTATTTTAACTTTTTTATTTTTGAGACTGCACATGATATTAATCGTGTCAGTATAGTTCTTCACTACATCTTGTTTATTGTAATTGTTCAAAAATGTATTTCTATTATTTAATTATTATTAAGTAGAATTATGGCAAGTCTGTTTAGCAAGAGTCTGCAATTGCAGCTGGCCTACCAATAGAGGCTGATAAAGTCCCCTTTTATTGTTACAGCAAAGTTGGATGTGAGTTAGATTATTGGGGATGGGTAGAAATGCACAATCTCACACGGGATTCATCAGGATTTGTTTGGGTATCCAGTGGTGGTTGTTTTTTACCAGTCTTTTTACTAAAGCCATGGAAAACCCAGTAATAAAGCCTCCTATACTTACTTTGACTGTCACTGTGAAATGTTTGTATGTGCAGATCCGTGGGACAGCCTAGAATAGGATCTGTCACAAAAATGTTTTAAAGTAATTTAGAAACGGTGACGTGCAGATTTTCATACATATGTACCTGGTACTGTACACACATACTTCACGTTTTCTGTATTTTGTTAAACTTGTAACTGACACTAGGGGGAGTATAAAGTCTATGACCGAGGCACATATATTTATCTGAGAAAGTGCTGAAAAATCTATTGTGAAGACTTGTAGATCAATACACACTTAAAAAAAAGTTCTAAGTGCTCAAAGACTCAGTGATACTTCCACAACATAAATCGGTTTTGTTATTTTTAAACTTAGTTTTGTTATGTGATTTATTTATAAAGCAAAACATTTATGAAAAGGAATAGAACAACAAGCCTATGTATGTTATTCTCTAAAATTCCGCTGTGGGTTTAAATTATGTATCCTTGCAAAAACGTGTTAGTTTCGAGTTCTAAATAATACTTTATACTTTTTTAAGTCTATAAATACAAGCCACATTCTGATGTTTCTTTAAGATGCATTCTCCAATTTTAAAGTAAACAGTAATTCTTCCTTGTTATTGCTGACAGTTTTACTTATAAAATATTTTTAAGTACGTTTCCATTTAATTTAAGAATCTCAAAACTGATAAATGACTTTTGTTCAGAAATCATACAGGTATGTAAAACTTTAGATATTCAATGCAGAGTATATTTACAGTAAATTAATTCATATTTATTTCAGACCTCAGGAAATACTTTAATCTCATTTAATTTTTTTTCCACAGAAACAGAGCTACGCAGGAAATACATCATTCAGTTTACAGAGTCTTTTTAAAAATGAAAATCGTAAACGGGTTGCTACAATGTTCTTTTGCTTTCTGGTGTTAAAGAAGCACAATGCTGTTGAGGTCTATCAGAGCAAACCTTATGATGAAATCATTGTAAAACCTGGAATAATGTTTAATAAGTTGTAGTTTTAAAGTTAAAGTAAGAGTACTATGTTCTGCTTACACAGTGAGGTATTAATGATTCTTACAGATATTTTTATACCTTGTGGAAACTAAAACTAGTTATATTAATTTCAAATACTTGGATTAAATCTTACAACAGCAATATTGTTTTTCACGGCAGCACTTCTGAGGAATGTGCTATTAATTCACATTTTCTTAAGACTGTTTTTTTGTACATTGTGGATCAGTTAAGTCAGAAGTGTTTAAATATCCAAGGTTTGTGATGGTATAGCCAGATACTTTTAAACTTGTGTATATATACTGTATATACAGATATATACACTTTCATTGTTAAAATGTTCTGCATAATTGCTGATAATTACAATTACAAATGTACATTTTACATTATTGATATCTTTTGATGTGTGATTTTGTTCAGAATTCAAGACAAAACATTGATAATGATTTGTAAATACTTTCTAAATCTTTAGCCTCATTTACTTATCGTAGTCTAAAAAGTCACATATTTATTCCATGTATAAATTAAAAATGCAGTCTTGCTGTTCGTTGTATATCGTCTTCACTGTTGCTGTGTATTTATGAACTGTTTTCTCTGCTTTTGCTTTTCAAAAGGAATAAAAACTACAATGTCATTAGTGTTTTTAGGTATTTTTATGATTAGACCATGTGTGTAGAAGAGTATGAATTGGCAGTGGAGACATTTTTGTAACACTGCACTTCTTAAACCTAGTTCGAGTTCCAGCCTGGATATTTGGAAATGATTGTCCTGCTTTGATGTTTCTTTCTTGCTTTTAAATAGTATTCGGTTTTTAGCCTGTTTAGATACACCCATACCGTAAGGTTTTAAGTCATTCAGAACAGCAGAGCAATCCATGCAGTAATGCTCACTTACTCAGGCAGATGGTAGAAAGTACTGCTAAAAATAATTGACATTCACTGTTAGAATTCCCTCTGATAGGCGGACATTCAGAGGTCTGCTTCAGATGACTTGTTCCAGTGGCTGGAACTTGGGATGCCTTGCTTAGGCCACCTTGCAGTGTTGTCTCCGTCACACAACTGGCCAATATAATTTGCACTTGATTTGTTTTATCTCATAGAGCTGTGAATTTACCTGGTGTATTTCCTCTTCAAAATGGTTGTTCCCAATAAATTCTCAATTCAATAAATCGATCCTATTGGCCAGTATTTCTCTTTTTCAGTGTTAGAAATACAGTAAACTACACCTCTTTAAAAATCTTTTGATGGTTAATTGATAACATACAATATTTGTCTTCAAAAGCGTTGGTTCCGATTGTTAGCAAATGAATTTTGAAGACACGGTGCATGTTTCTGCAGCCAGTGTAGAATTACATTGTGTCTTTAGCGAATTCACTAAATAAACTTTAGCTGCTACTAGATCGAATAAAGGAGTATTCAGTTAACTGAGGTGTCATTGTCAAACAAGTGTGGTTCAGCAAACAAGTGACTAACACTGTTGGAGATGACGGGTGTCCACGCTTATGTCTTGCCTAACACTATCCAACGCATTGAACAAGAGCAAGAATCCTCGGGTTCACAATGTAGATTCAGTGGGAGGTACTACGGTTATCACCTGTAGCTTGAGAATAGGTGCATCCACACTTGTGCGATTCCCGTGTACTTCGATACCGAACCACCTGTTCCTTTCCCGACACATTCCCTGATCCAAGGCCACCATTGGCTGTTCGCCTATGAGAAGTCCGCTTCACCTGAAGGGCACACACGGGCTTGGGGGGGCCTCGGTAGATTCTGTTCTCCTGTCATTAAATGACTCCGCGCATTTTTCAAAACCGAGTTTATATCCCTTTAAGAGGCCAGGCTTGGGAGCTACGCAGCTGTCTGTATCTGGATCGTTTGGCGGTGTCGCCCACAAACCCCGCAGCGTCCGTCGCTGCGCTGTTGGAAGACCGCTGGAGCCCGGGTGAGTTGTTTTCGGGGGATAATCGCCACTAAACCGGCCGAGGTCCGGAAAAAAAAATGGATCCCTGAAAAGGTAAAGAAAAAATGTCAAGATGCCTTAAAATCGTTCCCGTGTGTTTTTCCTCAGCTGTTATTTGGGATGAACTTCCTTAGGGGAGAGGTGCAATATCATCTGTAGGACACATCAAGGACTGCGCCTCCGGAATTTTGCGCGATTGGATAACGTCGAATAATAATGTACTTTTTGAGGGGTCTGCTGCTTGTGTGCATGTTTAAAGGCATGGTGTGGTGCTTTTCTGATTGCATTCGTGAAGAGTGGTGTAGCCGCCGCTAACGCTGCAGTGGTGCTGCGCCAGGATCCAGCCTGCGTGTGGTGGTAGCGTGACACCTTGGTTATCCTCAGGTGAGCTGCCCGCCTCAGAGTCGGCTTCCGTTTAATCCAGGTTCGTTTTAAAACCTTCACGGGGAAACCCACGGCATTCACCTTGGTGTGTTCTGATTATTTAAAATTTACAAAAAAACAAGCATTTGTGCCCAAGTGACGCCTGGTCTTGGTCTGGTACTGGTGTCGGCTGCGGACGTTGTCATAGGAGAGGATCAATCTGGATTAAGACGGCCGTAGTTCTCTAAAAGTAAGCGGCTATGATCAAATATCTTATAATCGTTTTACTTGTGCGCTAATGTCTTTTGCTCATTGGAATTCTGTAAACATGATTTTTGTTTATTTCGGTGGCGATAACATTACATTGAATAACGGATGTCCAGTGTTCATCAATCGATTTCAGTTGCGTTGAATAATTAGTCGACTCGCTCCCCCCTCCCCAAGATCCACATCGGTGTATGTAATGATATGTAGGATTGAGGCCCTGGCGATGGACAGGACGAAGAGGGGAACATGTTTCACGTCACTCGTTTAAAAATGGGTGGTTGTTTCATTGTCTTCTATACGATTAATACGTGTGTTACTTCGCTTCGTTTGAGATCTTGGTTTTATCTTCCGCGTTGTCGGTGAAACGGGTTTTACACAATTGGTAATCCAATCCAATGAAACCTTTATAGTAACTGAATTCCGCCGGCTAGAATACAACAAAAAAAAGTCATTTCTCACTGAGGAAAATCCAACTAGCCAACTCGTTGTTTCTCCATCTGATCTTTTGAGGATTTTGAGTTTTTTCCCCCTCTTAGTTTCTAACAGAAGCCTCCCTAACCTGTGGGGGGAAAACGCAACAGCAAAATCACAAACGGGTACGATCAATGTCCATTATGATAATAATTGGACAGCGCATCTGGGTTATTTCTGATGCTGGGATCTATAGTGTCTCGCCGTTGCCGGGGAAACAGACCATGGTCCCGGAACAGAGCCCGGCGATCCGTCTATTTTATCCCCAAGACAGGAGGGAAAAGATTTTGGTGAAAACGGGCTGGAAATAAAAGCAATAAGCATTCCATGCTGTGCGTGACGTTTAGCAGAACGTCACCAGGCGTTAGCACATGGTTTGTGAAGTGCATGGCTTGATTGCAAGTCATGAAAAGGTACCTTTGCAGGTGTAAGAATAGTAAGGAAAACGTCGCTGAATTGGAACAGCGTTTGCTGTTTAGTTTAGGTCACACTGTGCGATCAGGTTAAAAACTCTTAATTAACAGGACACCTGTTGGTAAACGTCTGAGGCTTCCATGGCAAGGTGTCTGTGAGTTACAGTGCATGTCCTTTATGTTTTTTTTTAAAAAAGGAACAGAACTGCTTTTACATGGGAAAACAATTGTACAAACACATGAAGCACATCAGCCATCAGCGATCTGCTGACCTCGCCGTGCTGAGAGATGGCAAAATTCGAACTCCCTTCTCTCTGCATGTGCAGTATGTGCTGCTGCACAGGTATCTGAGACGACTCGACAGCAGTCCACACATACTACAGACAGAAGCAATGTACCCTACGCTTCGCCTTAGCACTAACAAAATGTGACCCTTCATGTTGTCATTATTAGCACTGCCCATGCATGTGAATGATAGATCCTGATTGTATTTACCAGTATTGTCAATGCAAATCCAGTCCTTGTTAAGCTTTGCATTGTCTTCCTTTACTGCTAAAACCTCTGCTGGGTTTGTCCTGATATGTTCCAGATATCCGATTGGGAGCTGGTTGGTTATGCTCATCACAAGTCAGACTTACGAGATCAAGCGAGTCTATGTTTTGTGTAGGATCTGGGCAAAATGTTGTACTGTTGTGTTCATTTCCTCTGTGACTGTTAAAAAAACTGTTTCAGCTGGATCTGAAGGAGAGAGAATGAAAGGCGATACTTTGTTTGATAATGGTCTTTGAAAATTAGCGAGCTTGACCTTTGGTGTTTAGTCTTCTCTTACAGAAAACACTGTGGTTTTATAAGTTTTAATCGTTTATTTTAGGGTTCATTGCTGTTCCAGAAATGTAAGGCCTGTGATTGAAAAATTATGTTTTTTGTTAAAGAGAAAAGGCTGTGCCATCACAGATTATGACAATCATAATGATGGTAAGGCTTAATCTAAAAAGAGAACTGCAGCTACAGTTATCTAATTACCAAAATGATTAAATTATATATGCTTGCGGTTCTTCTTTACTGGGGAAAAAAGAGTCTGCAGCCACAATTCATGGTATTTTTTTTTACAGAGATGTTTTTCCATAATGTTTCCAAAATAGAACAATCTATGAATAGTGCACTGAGTCTGCTGTGCTTTTGCACAAGAAAAGGGATGTGCACTGTATAGTTACTTATTTCTCAGTGTAGATGCAGAAGGTGGCTTTAAAACTGACCTGCCAATGCGGTTTCATCTGTAATTCTGATACTGGAAAACTCTGGGGGAACAAAAACACATGCAGTTAACATGCATAACCATCAATAAAAAATACTCAGTGACTGCAATGTGGAATTCAGAGTACTTGTACTGTTTCTCATAGCTGTTAGTCTGTTTCTGTTAAGAGTACAAAGATGTTTTAAAGAAATGTTGAATGAATTATTATAGAACAGTATGGGTTTCTCATGGCTCCAATATCTGTACATTGCTGAATCATGCATGAGTGGTTTATGTTATTTTATCATATGCCATAGGCTGCCATTGCCAGTTACTTACAGGTGACTTTAAAAAATCAGCCAAAAGACTAGTTTTAACCAGGAATCCTCAGTCCTGATCCTGCAGAGCTGCTATTATAGACCAGTCCATTTTCTGTCCAGCTTGGCTTATACTGACCTGGAACAGCATATAAGTGGCTTAACTGGACCAGTTTAACAGCTTCTTCCAGGGCTCTTCAGTTTCCAGTGCTGTCGAGAAACCTGCAGACACACTGGACCTCCAGGACCATGACTGGGGACACCCGATTCAAGCACGTGCCTGTCTTCAGTAACGATGTAGTCATTATTTTGCATTGATCTCTAGACAGTAAACTGAATCTAGGCGCTCACTTTGATTTTTTTTAATTGTAAAAGAAGCAGTTTGTCCAAAGAGGAGAGCTACTAATACTCTGGAGTGTCATGAAGCACGCTGAGCTTGTGATCCCTGTCCAGAGTGCACAGAAAAGGCACCTGATTTTTAAACATAAATTCCAAGTCTGGTTAGAACACATTTTGTACAGATCTGAAGTATTGCTAACATTCTAGACTGAATGTCTAGAAAAGAGCCATATTTGGCAAGCTCCTAAGCACTTAATGAAGCCAAGGCCCTTGAAATGAAACTGTCCCCAGGTGAAGCCATGAACAGTACTGGAGAGTCACCAGGCACCTCCAATGCCCAGCAGTGTCTCCCTCTTCACTGAGAGCCGTAGATTCTGAGTGCTGATGCTGCAGAGGCCTGCTTTCCTGATTAATGGATGAGTCATCTGTTCAGTGTAAAAATACTGCATGGCAAGAAACAGCGGCATCAATAATTTACCTAAATGAAATTACAGCTAGGAGTCAGGAAAGCAGAAGCTGTCAGAGAAGCCAGGGAGTACAGGGTACAGCGGTTTTATCAACCAAAGCGTCATTTGTGCTGCCCGAGACAGAAGGAGCTCAGGGTGGGTTGTTGAGGAGCTGCTGCACAGCTGAAAGTGTTGGAGAGTACAAATCCAGCCAGTAGCTTTTCATTTTGCTTCTCTCCCTCTTAAATTCAAGGCGTAAGGTAAACTTAACACACTCCTGGAAGCCAACAGTTTGTGACTAGAGAATGTGTTTACAAACCCATGCAGTTCAAATGTAGGAGCTAATAAAATACTCAGTGCCGTGTGAACTTGATGGCAAATCACCACAGCACGAGTGGAATTGAATACACATGAATTCTAAAACTGTCTCCCTGGGGATTAATAAAGTATTTTAAATTATATTATATCAGTGATGTTATTTCGGAATTATGCCTAGTTTTTCCTCGTTCCTAGTTTTTGTCTGCTCTCTGGTTGTCTGAGTTTAAATGGTCATAGTTTTACATATATAGGAGTCTGTGGATTTAAGGAGACATGTTAAGTGATATTCTTGTTTGGTGGGGGATGTGTAGACCAGGGAACACGGATGGGCCAGCAGTTTTAAGGCACTTTTCCTTTCACATTTCAGATAATTATAAAACAGGTGATCTGTCCAGCAGCCATATCACCCTGCAGTTCACAGCTGGCAGCCCCACTGGAGCTCAGCAGGTGTGAGCCTGGTCAGTACCTGGATGGGAGACCTGCTGGGAAAAACTAAGAAAGGCTGTTGCTGGAAGAGGTGTTAGTGGGGCCAGCAGGGGGCGCTCACCCTGCGGTCCATGTGGGTCCTAATGCCCCAGTATAGTGACAGGGACACTATACTGTAAAACAGACACCGTCCTTCGGATGAGACGTGAAACCAAGGTCCTGACTCTCTGTGGTCATTAAAAATCCCAGGGCGCTTCTCGAGAAGAGTAGGGGCCCTGGCCAAATTTCCCGTTGGCCTTTAGCAGTCACGGCCTCCTAATAATCAATATAATATATAATAATAATAAACTGGCCTCATCACTCTGCTCTCCTCCCTGGTTAGAGCTGGCGTGTGGGGAGAGGAGCGTTCTGGCGCACTATGGCTGCCGTCGCATCATCCAGGTGGGGCTGCACACTGGTGGGGGTGGAGGGGATCCCCATTACCTGTAAAGCGCTTTGAGTGGAGTGTCCAGAAAAGCACTATATATTGTCGCGGGGAGCCTATCCCAGCAAGCACCAGGCACAAGGTGGGGTACAGCCTGGGTGGGACGCCAGTCCATCGCAAGGCAGACACACAGACACACGCATAAACACACATGCATTCAGACCAGGGCCAATTTTCCGAGAAGCCAATTAACCCGGAGCACCCGGAGGAAACCCACACGAACACGGGGAGAACATACAAACTCCACACAGACAGCACCCCAGGAATTTGACCCAGGGTAGCAGTGCCAACCACTGTGCCACCAAGCCAACCACAATAGAGCCTACTTATTCAAATAATTAATAGTTCATAATTCTAATTGAATAATGAATAGTTAACAGAAATCAGAGGTGGGATGAAAGTGTGGCCCTGGTGTGACTGAGAAATTGAAAACTTCAGAATCCCTGACATTACATGCTGGTCAGTGATGTCATCTCAAACGACAGCAGTTTGTGGAATTATGGTATTGTGGGTATATATCCTGGGATATGGAGTCATCTGTCTGCATCATTTATTGAATTCTGGGTTGCTGCGTTTCCGTTTTTAATGATATGGTTAGCACCTCGTTGCTGACGACAATGAATCCTGGTGTCTTCTGGGAGCAACAGGTATCTGTTTGTTATTCTGAGCATCCCCTTGACAGAACAGAAGCACCTTACATGTTAACACAACCGCAGCAGACTCTTTAGGATCTGAGCAGCACAATCCTATTTGCATTATTTGTATGTGTAGCAGTTATATATATGGTAGGTAGATGTATAGTTTTCAGACTTTCTGTTGATCAGTGGAAATCTTGTGGAAAGAGAACGCGACGAGTACTCAGCGCACATCGTATTACCCCCCTTGTCAAGTTTCTCTTCCTCTCTTTAGCCTCATTTAATCAAGACTTCTCTGATTTCATCCTGTTTGTACCCCCACAAGGCTGCTGTGGATCAGCATTTTTCTCTCTAAATCTCCAGTGCCTTCCAGCAAGTCATTAAACGGGGAGCAGTGTCTGGCACAAGTGCTGTGAAATGAAAGGCAGATTTAAAGGTTAATTGGCAGCGAGTTAATGCTACATTATTTCCTTCGTTATAGTGCTGATGTTGTTCTACCGGACATATACTTTGCTTCTTATGTGCTATTAAGTCACGTGTTCCTCAATATGGTTTTTGCAAAATGCACTTGATATTTCAAACCGCAGTGCAGTTGTATTTAACAAAACTGACTTGGGATTCCGTTTCACTTCTGGTCATTCTGCACTGGAGTAGGTCACCCATGCGCAGGGCACAGTTGAGCTGTTTCTGAATCCTGCTGGTGTCCCAGTCCTCAGGACACTGCTCGGCCCTGTTGATGGTCAGGGGTGTTGTTTTTCTTTCCTTTAAGAAAATAGGCTCCATACTGCCTAGAGTGGGAAATACAGGACTTCAGTGGGGGTTTTTTTATTCGAAAATATATATAAATTATTATTTTTTTTTATTCACATGTTCATATTAACAGAAGCATACAGAAGGGCTTAGAGAGCAACTCTCTGCTCATTGTAGTCCTGTATCTGCAGAAACATCTGAGTGCTTCTGCATGTAAAACTCCTCGCACTGTCTCTGTGAGTGTGGCTGGAGACTCCGAGGTGTGGCAGTCAGAGCAATCCTCCTGCCTCTCCTGGGACTGTCAGACCCAGCACCCTGCGCCTGTTTTGCAGGGAGAATGTGCAGCTGGAAGCACGTTCACTTCCCGGTCGTGTCAAGGTCACCTTTACTGAAGTGCATCAGGATGTTGTTGCCAAGGTGACTTGTTATGGACTCGAGTGGTCATGTACAGTGAGGTTCTGCACAGCGGGGGGAGAGCAGAGCCAGTCTGAGATTAATACTGCTTACTGTTCGCACCCCTGTTCAAAAGACAAGGCAGTGCAGTGTGATGCCACTGTCTGTGATGGCAAACACTCTGCTTAGAATTTTTCATCTGGGTTACATCTTAATATTAGTATGTTGGGTATAATTAATATTTCATAAATGGCAAATGGAAAGGTAATATTACATGATGTATGCATCTTACAAAAAATGCCCTCTTTAGAAATGTAATTTTCTGAACAGCTTTTCTCCTCTAAGGTACAGTGTGGGTTCTGATCATTAGCAGCAGTGGTGGATAAAATCAGGCTACATATTATAAAACATGTCTGGATAGCCCACCAGCCTGCTGTCAAAATAGTGTGCCCACAGCTTCTAAACTATTTCACCTACATCCACAATAAGCTGTTTTAACAAATTATAGAGCAATTCATTGGATTCTTCCAACTTTCACGAGTTTTCTTTGTAGCTTTTATATATTTTTAGAAAATATTCCTTTTAGTTATTCCCTCTAGAAAATTAACAGTGCATTCTCAAAAGGTTCTCTAAAAGGCAACCTGCATCCATGTGGTGATTAATTACTGTGAAAACCAATTCTTTCTTTCTGCTGCTGGGTGATTCGTGCCGGAGAAATGCTGGCCGCTGCGCAGACGCAGACGCAGGACCCGGTCGCATGGTTCTGCAGCTGTAAGGACACGAGCAGGAGCTCTTAACCACACTTGCTGTCGCCCCCCACCGCCTCTCAAGGTTGTTCAAGGAGCACGGCTCCCTCCGTCCTGGTCAAGTCAGGCCCTGGCTGCAGGTCACCAGACCCCCATGGTAGTGAAGGACCTGAGTGGGGCTCCGGTGTAGTGGCAGGCTGAGGAAGCGTGTGGGTGGGGGAGAGGGATAGTGCTCTAGATCGCTGCAACACAGCCTCCCTCCCAACAGTCCCTCCCTGCCTGTGTCGTCGTGCTGGCTGGCGGGGGTGATCTAGGTGAAGCTGCAGTGCGCCTGCCTGCCTGCGCTCTGCATTACCGGGGGAAGCCTTTCCTGTGCACAGTCATGGGGATGTCGGGGGGCTGAGGAACACGCTTGCGATGGGACCTCCTCCAGCGCCCAGCGACCTGGAGCAGCGCCGAGCCCTGGCACCGTGCGGGCTGGCCGGGCACGAGGCAGGTTTCTCGTGCGCGAGGCGAGGTCGGCAGTGGCTCGCGCTGGAAAGGATGCTCGGACGCCCGGCGCCGGGCAGCCAGGCGCAGGGTCTGACTGACGCTGTAGCGGTGCGCGGCTGATGCAGTTGCAGATGTGTGTTGGCGCCGAGGCGTACAAAGAGAAAAAAGATTAGCATTCTGTTTGTGTCCGTGTCCTGGTATTAAACACCTTGGCCTCTTTTTTTGGTGTGTGGGGGGGGTGCCTTTTGTTTTGCAGCGGGCTATTCACGGGTTGCTGTGATCTTTGTTTTCTGTCTGCAGCTGGGTGAAAGCCAAAAGCTGTCATCTGTTTCTATTTATATTTAAAGCATTTCTCTATTTTAAATCAGAAAAGCTACGCAGTTCAGAGGTTGCTAGGCAACAGTGATGAGAAAGCCGCTGTAAGCAGTATGGATTTGGCCTCTGTGTTTCTTTTGTGTGGATCGTTTACATCTGTGGTTTTAAAGAGCACGAGTCAGAATTCTAAGCCCAGGCCTGTGTGTCTCTTATTGCTAACCAACAGCTGGTTTCCTCTGACTTCCCTGCTTTTTAACGCATGCACATGTTTTTTTTTTTCATACCGTACGCTGGTTTGTTTGCCTAGGCATTTGTCTTCGTTTTTTTTAGCGTTGCAGATTTTAAGCCGCTTCTAAAATATTAGTCTGTCTAGCAATTTAAAGGCTGAGAATATATTGAATTTCTGTTTAATCATCGTCGGCTCAGTGAAGGGCTCCAGTAAGTGGGCGCTCAGCAGGAATGAACACCAGTTCACCGGGACCAGGTCTGGGTATCCTTGCCCTAAACCCTGCTTGTTATTTTCTCAGTGGAGCTCCTGCATGTACAACTGGCGGGTTCTTGTCAGATGAGTGGAACCAAACTAACCCTATTAGAGAGCTGGTTGGACTGATGTCCTTTCCAGGTGCGAACAGAAAGCCCAGTGCCAGAACACTGATGCACAAAACATGGACCGATTGCAAACAACTGTGATGATGCAAAGGCATTGAAGTGGTCCTTCATTAAAATGCATTTCTAAATACATGTTAAGGTTCGAAGTGTTTCAGGGCTTTGCTTTTTGATGGACCAATACTGCAACTTCAATTTCCTCGGTTTTAATTACAGTACTGCATTCTTAAGGATCAGGGCCCAGTTGCTAAGACTGCTTAGCAACTGGGCCCAGTGGAAGTCCTGTGTATCCCATTGGATCACACAACCACAGGCTGTCATTGCGATCAGTGAGGAGCCGAGCGCGTGTTTGAGGAAATGCTGACGCAGAACAGAAGCTGTGTGTCCATAGTCAGGCAGTCACCACTGCTGTGTGAATAGTACACTGTCTGTGCTTCTACAGTATATACATGATTTCACTGGTTCTCAGGGTTGGCTGTAAAGGACAGAATCCTTTTTTAAAACAATTGTTAAAAGGGCTATTTGGTTTATCTGCCATACCTGCTCTTTTGTTATACGGAATCTTTTAAAAGAGTACCTGCAAAATATGACACAACCACCTGTCTAAAATAATATCCATTTATTCATTTCACTGGCATCTCTATTCTGCATTCCCACATGCCTTTTTTTAATAAGCATCTTTCCTGAAGTCTGCAGCTCTCCTGCTCATATCCCAGAAAATATTTCAAGGGCAGTCACATTATGTGGGAAAGTCCAGCAACACTCGCATCTCTCCCATCTTCTCAGGAAGGTGGATGTTGTGGCTCACTGCAGCAAAAATTGAAAAATGTTTGACCTCTGCCTGCCCCGTCCAGTTGCAGCGTTTCTGCTGAAAATGAATGCTTTGCTTTGCTCTGCGCTGTGCTGTCGTGCGTCACCGGGGGCTGAGAGCACTGATGGCCCTGCTCTCTCTGTGTTCCCAGGCTGCCTGGGATTGACGAGCCATCGCCGCGGTCCGAGAGTGAGGCCGTCTCCATGTCCGCCCCCGCCAGCAGGAGATCTTCGGCTGGATCGCGCAGGTAGATCACAGTAGATCACAGCAGGTAGATCACAGCCCCATCAGAACTCACGCCTGCATTGTGGTGACCCTCACCCCACCCCCTGCACAAAACCGACCCGCCTTCCGATCCCACAACTACACCCTTTCACCTGCAGACACCTGAGGAATGCACCTTATTTCCCGTCCCGTCTCGCAGACGCGTCCTCTTCCATCGAGAGATTTGAATTCCGTCCCTCCCTTCAATAATGTCGGCAGGGCAGGACTTGAGAGGCTCCAAAGTTTCTTAAGTTGCAGAGATGCATTGGGGCAGAGACACTCTTCGGCTGTTTTATCCAAGTCAGCTTTTCAGGCTTCATTAGAGCATGCCTTTGCCGAGTTCGCCAGCGCTAATGATTTGTAGCCATTAGCGCACTGCCTTTTCACTCTGGAAAGGCACTTTTGCTTTCCCGGAGGAATACAGAAAACATTGCAATCTGAAACTGCCGCAGCCAGCTGGCTGGCAGTGGGGAAGCACGCGTTGGCTGCACGCTCTTTAATACCCCACGCCAGGCACACACCCTTGCTTGTGCGGCAGAAGTGCTCCAGAGTTTGCTGGTTCAGAGCCCCAGGCATGAGCTCACGGACTATTATTTTTATTTAATTTATAATGCGCCTATCCAAACCCGAGGATGTTGTACAAAGTGCTAAAAAAAAAGACAAAAAAAATAGAATAAAAGGTCATAAAAGAAAAAAAATAAACAAGAGCATACAGATTTATACGGGTGTAGGGCAATCAGACATAGACTTTGCTAAAAAGAAAAGTTTTGTAACTTCATAACTATGGTTATGTGGAGGTTGTTAAAATGAAATGTATTGGATTAGATTAATATGTATGTCTGGTCCCTTTGCGCTGGTACCTGATCAAGCTTCCTTTACAGTGACCAGCGATCCCCATAATTGGGACCATTGTAAGATTTTGAAGAATTACTTAGTAATGCAATGAGTTTTATTTTCAATCGGTTTTCCTAACTGGAATTCAGAGATTATATATATAAAAGGATCATCCGTCAAGTCTCAGTATCGTATTCGCAGCACCAGATGGTGTTCCAGAGTAGCAAAACCAAGTGTTATCAGCCACTTGGTCCTTCTGCTGTGAGCGAAAAAGACTCTCGTCCATCTTAAAGGCACGACTGACCCCCTTTTCAGGAGTTGCTTTTGAAAGCTGAGGCTGCTCTCGAACCCCACTTGAGTGAAGCTGTATTTCGAGCCAGAGATCTAAAACCCGCCGGGGTGTTTCTGAGTCAGGGCTCACAGAAACGCAGCGCTCCTCATGTGGAGGGGGAAGACGAGATGACAAAAACGGGTAAATGTTCTATTGTCCTCTGGTGAACCAGCAGCCGAGCTTCGCCCCTATTTCTGTTTTCTCCTCAGATTCAACCCCCTGAAGGCTCTGCAGCCGAAACGCCGCTTGCAGCAAATGTTGTCTTCCCCTTCAGCGTGAGCTTCGCTTTTATTTCTCTCTCGTACCCACGCACACGCACACGCACACTGATGCATTAAAAATCCAGAGCAGAGGGTTGGGGGGGGGGCACGTCTTTACCCCGAGGGGTGTGGGAGAGGGGAACAGGCTGCCCAGCCATGTGGTTGGAGCTGATTCCATGGTTTCTTTCAAGAAACGACTGGATAGGGCCCCGAGATCAATGAACTCCCAGTTAACCCCATGGCCTCTCCTCTTTTGTAACCTCTCATTTAATCTTGGGATCGCCAATATTTTAATTTCTCTTGGACCTCCCTGAAAAAACCCCACTTTCAGTCCACTAATGACCCGTAAAACTGTGCCATCGTCGCTGCGGCGGGTGCTGTGTGGGAGGCGCCCCGTCAGGGCCCCTGGTCTCGTCTGGTTAGAGCCCTTTCAGTGCTGCGGGACGAGCCCGACCTCCCTGACTCTGCTCGTGTGTGTTGAAGTACGCTTGCCTCCATGCTTGCTCGTATTATTTTTCCTCTGCTGTCCAAGCCTGCTCAGCAGCCCCCATGTCACCTTCCTAACTCCCTCCCCCTTGTCTCAACCTTTTCTGGGAATAAGTGAAGAAGGGGGTACCAGGTGAACTGCCTCGGGAAACGGAGGCCTCACCAACGGCCTTTTCTCTCCCGACATCCAAGCAACAGCAAGCCGAAGACCTCCCGAGCAGCTGGAAAACTGGGAATGGTAGAAATGGAAGAACGGTTTTTCTTCCTGGTGCAGATGTCCCACTGCCTTGTGCTTGTTACAGAACACGCAGACCTCACCACTTCCACCTTTCTATGAGACTTGGGCCTGCTGTGAACTAGTTTTTACTTAGAACCCATTTTTTAACTGGTCTGCTGCTGTAATTTCTGATGGTGATTATTTAATTTTAGTGAGATCAGCACCAGAATCCTTCCCCGTGATCATCTAATCCGACTATTTACTGTCTGTCATAAAAAGAGGCCTTTTGAGTATGTAAATTCTACAATATGAGCAAATAGAAAACTGAAATCGGTTACCTTGTGAATAAAAACCTGGCTGGAACAAACTCCAGAAGAGACATTATTTCTCCATGACCAAGTTTGGGATTTTATTCAGGAACTTTTTTTTTAATGAGGTGGAGACAGAGGACTGTATTTAAATTTTTAAACAGTCCTTCCTGCAGTGATTAATATTTCTCAAGGAAATGAGTTATAAGTACAGTTGTGCTGCTCCAATTAATGGTCTTTGAATTAAGGAATGTAAGACTGGAACATTAATTAATAATGATCCATTTAAAAAAAAGTCACAGAGAGAGAAATTAACCCATTGTGCGAGAGACCTCGGGATCTTTGAATACGAGTTCCAAAAGTGCCATGCATAAATCCACATGTTTATCAGATGTTTCAAAACCTTCATTTGCTATGTTAAATGAATCTGTTTCTAAACACAGATTTTAGAGATGAAAGGCATACATATTTCAGAAAATACGTCATGGGTCAACACTCAAAAATGCAGAAAGTCATTTTCAGACCGAAAAGAACGTGTGTAGTTGGAGTAGCATTCAGGAGACAACCCATGGACAGGTGTTTCTTTGCGTGGGATAATCAGATTTCATCACAACATCACCCTGCATTAACTTTGAGGAATGACTTCTTTCAGTTCTTTTAGATCATATTTTCTTTCCTTATTTGTGCACTACATGCCCACTATAATCTGTTATCTTTGGGAAGTTTTGACTATTGCAGGTTCATAGAGCTAGACTACATTCCTATGGAGACAGGGCTTTTGGTTTCAATGCGCCAAAGTCGTGGAATACTTTCCTCGTCACAGCTGGAGCTTCAGAATCGGTCAGCATTTTTCAACTCCCTCCACTTTGAAACGTGCCTACAGTACGCGGGCTTGCTTGCTGTCCGTGGATGTCTCCTGTCCGGTCTTGTCTGTGGCATCTGGAGTCTTTCTGTTCGTCGCCTGCTGTCCGGTCGAGTCTGTCCAAGTGGTGTGTTAGGGATTCAACCCCCTGGTCTCTCTCTTTCCGTTCTGCGCCGTCGTTCGTTTTGCTTTGCGCAGACGCCAGCGCCTGGAGGCGATGCGCAAACCCAAACGAGTGTGCTGTTGTCGGAGGACGCGGGCGCCCGGCCTGGCTGTGACACGGTTCCCCGCGTCCGTTAAGTACAAGCGGGTTCTCTTTGTTTCCCTCCCCTGCGCCCCTCCAGACGCCCGGCCTCCCAGGTCAGCGTTCGGGACGCCTACGGCACCTCCTCTCTGAGCAGCAGCAGCAACTCCGGCTCGTGCAAAGGCAGCGATGGCAGCCCCACCCCCAGGTAAGGACACCCGTCCCGCCCATCCCAGCTTGTAGCCCGTGGCGTCACAAGCCCTGGTTTCCCCAACGAGCCATCCTGCACAGATGTTAAGAGCGATGTGCCCTCATGATATCTAACCAAGAATTCAGATCCCACTGTAATTCAGGCATTATCAAGCACTGATGCTTTTCCTTGCATTTCTGGTTTGCACGTCTGATCTGATCCAGAAGAATCCCTCGGTGTTTTCCACAGAGGAAGGGACCCGCTTCACCCATTCTGCACCAGCCACCTCTCTATGCACCAGAGCGGGTGTTGGGAGTGAGAAATTATTTGCTGCTCGACTTGAGCTAAAGCAAGCATTTTGGAGGGAGGGGCTGATGTGAAATGTGTGGGCAATGCAAGGAAAATAAATGGTGGTCGTGCTAATTCCCTGCGTAGGATTGGGTTAGAGACTTTCACAAGCCTAAATGCTTCGTTGGGTAGGGTTTGTTTGCTGTAGCTTTAAGACACCTGGAAGTCCACGAGCAGAGTCTGGATGGGAGCCTGACACACCACAGACGCACTGACCCTCCAGAACCAGGACTCGACTGCCCTCACATACTGTAAAGACATTGGGAAAACCACAACAGTGTCACATTTCATCTCTCAGTTTTCGTCCCATTTAATGTAGTGTGATTCACCGGCGCGACTCCCCATACACACACATCCTGAGACAGCTGATGCACATCAGCAAGCAGCCCATAGCTTAGATTTTCTATTGAACAGTGCGTGATGGGTTTGATTAGGATTTTGTTTTTGAATTGAGCTCTGTCTTCCATCCAAGAGCTGAGAAACCCGTAGGATTACTGTCCCTTTTCCCGAACTCTCAGATTGTGTGCCACTGTGTCACCTAAGTTTTGCCCTTTGGAACATTTTCCTTTGTAATGTAATTTGAAGAACTGGCAAACAAAAAAACACTTTTTTTTATTAGAACATTTGTTTTATTTAAATGACAAAGGTTAAATACTTGCCGCTTCCGAAGCTTTGTCAGTGAACTTTGTGCTTCCCCACGGGGGGTGTTTCCAGAAGACATGTCAAGTACGCGTCCTGCACTGACAACCACGGAATCAAGCCCCCCACCCCGGAGCAGTACCTCACCCCCCTGCAGCAGAAGGAGGTCTGCATCCGGCACCTGCGGGCCCGGCTGAAGGAGACCCTGGACAAGCTGCAGGACCGGTGAGAGAGAGAGAGCAGGGTGCCTCAGGAAGTGGCCTCGCTCTTCTAACACCAGACAGGAAACCGTTCCAGACTCTCAGGAGCACTGGCAGTTTGCATGATCTCCTAGTTGAGTGTGAAGCCATTGTTGGTAAAAAAAATAAATAAATAACTTGCGTTTTGTAACAGGCACTTTTTCAGCAATCACCTGGTTCCTAACGGTGCTTTTAAAGTCACATGGGCTCAGTGTGATCTCCGTGATGTCTTGGATGCATTATCTGTTGAGTACCTGTGCCTTGAGCTGTGTGCTGTCGTTGTCCAAGGGCCAGTTTTAGGCCCCATCTGTATGTGCAAGTAACCTCATTGGTGCGCTGTGCAGGCTTGCTGACAGTTGTTTTCCCGTGCAAGCTGTTTGCATGTGAAGCACCCCTGCTGCTCCTGTGCAGGACTGTGACCGCCTGTATTTTTGCAGGGACACCGAGATCGAGGAGCTGAAGACCCAGCTGGCGAGGATGCAGGAGGACTGGATAGAGGAGGAGTGCCACCGCGTGGAGGCCCAGCTGGCTCTGAAGGAAGCCCGCAAGGAGATCAAGCAGCTGAAGCAGGTCATCGACACGGTCAGGAGCAACCTGACGGAGAAGGACAAGGGGGTGCAGAAGTACTTCGTGGACATCAACATCCAGAACAAGAAGCTGGAGACCCTTCTGCACAGCATGGAGCTGGCCCAGAACGGGTCCCCCAAGGAGGAGGCGATGGGCGGCCTGATCTCGGAGTCTGCGGGGGGCTCGCCCGCCCGCTCGCTCACCCGCAGCTCCACCTACACCAAGCTGAGTGACCAGGCGGCGCCCGAGAAGAACGCCAACGACATCCCCAGTTTCAACGGGGAGGAGACCTTGGACAGCGGCTTTGCGGGCGGGGAGGACAGCGCCAGCAGGACGGACCTCCTGGAGCCGGGCTTTTTCTTGGAGGACGCTTCCCTGCTCACGTCCTGCACAGCAGCCTCCCGGCTGCACCACAGCTCCACCTACGAGAAGCTGGTGAGCGGCCAGAGCAGCGTTGAGATGAGCAGCAACAACGGCCACCCCCACCACCTCCTCTTCCAGGACCTCAAGGAACAAGCCATCCAGACGGACTTCGTCCAGTACAACCCGGACCTGGACACCATCGTGGAGAAGGTGATGAAGTCGCAGGCCTGCAGTCCCACCTCCACCTGGATCTCCGAAGACGCCGAGGACATGGACACCACTCATGTGGACCACAGCCTGGCGCCGATCTCTTCTTTCAGCTGTGCCGTGGACCTCACCTCCTCCCACCCCAGCACGTCTGTGGTGGTGACTGGCCCTAGTGGGGAGGCAGCCACCCCCCAAACCAGCCAGCCCACCAGCGCCAAGGAGCAGCAGACGGCCGCATACAGCGTGGAGGTGGTGGAGGTAGGCGAGGAGGAGGAGGGGGGGGAGGAGGAGGACAGTGGAGGGGCCTCGGAGGACCGCAGCCCTCAGAAGAGCTACTGGAGCCGCCACTTCCTGGTGGACCTGCTGGCCGTGGCCGTGCCCATCGTGCCCACTGTGGCTTGGCTGTGCCGGGGCCATCGGCGGCAGGGCCAGCCGGTCTACAACATCAGCTCCCTGCTGCGGGGCTGCTGCACGGTGGCTCTGCACTCCATTCGTAAAATGAGCGGGGGCCAGCCCGTTCACAGGAGCTCCCAGATCTAAGCCGAGCGACGCCCTCCCTTGCCTCCCTTCCTCCCACCGTCC